ATCCAAATGCGATTTTTGGAAAAGTGAGACGGCTAAAATACTCATAATTTTACGCTGATTCCGAATATGTAAGTTTCATTGAGTTTTATTGGGGTGCTCGACACTCGCTTATCCTCCTCCGTCCTTTTTTAAAGTTTTATGTAATATTGATTTTGTTTTAGATTTTATGGAAATGAAAGGAGAATTTGCGTTAAAACCAACAGAAAAGACACAAGAGGTATGCATTACATTCGCTGCTGTACACTTGAACTATAGCGAAGGTTTGTTGTGCAACAACAAGGCTGTTTTCTGTTTAACCTTTGACGAGGTGAATCATCTTATAACAGTATCATTAGACTTTCTCTGCATGTAATCAAAACTGAATTCGTATGTTGTTCACAATAATTGCACTCACTTTACATCATCTTTAGATACAACCATGTGTGACCTTGTTAAGTAATCAAGACGAAGAGGATGTGGAAAATAATGACGATTTTGTTGATGTTCAATCGACCATAGCTACTCAGCCTCCTCAACAACAGCAACTGCCAATGCAATCAAAATTACAGTCACGAAAATCTCCTCAGAAACAAATGGAAACAGAAAAGCGACAAAAACGTCCAACAAAAAGAAAACGATGTACAAAAGATGAAACAGAAGATTTGATTAATGAATTAAAAAATGCCCTATCGCAGCACGAAAAAACAGAACAAAAAGAAACAGCAACACCAGAGATATCATTAATGAACGACTTTTCCAGTGATGACGACACTCACGTAATAAAGGCCGCTCAAATGACCCACAGTCTAATTGCTCAAAGTGAAAAAACTGAAATCAAGTCTAACAAAAAACTTACACGATCATGCGGTATGTTTTTGTAGTAACCATGAGGAAACTAGAAAGGAGAAGATTTCCTGTATTCATGACTTTGAGATTCATAAAGAGTACAATTACAGAGCAGTTTTGGTTAATTGGAGTATATGTTTCGAGTTTAAATTGAAGACAAAACTAAGCATCGTTATGCTTTTGGTAAAATTGTTTGTTAAGTCGCGAAATGAAGCTAAAGAAACTCGTGATGCGGCATTTCCATTTTAATCTGTGGTTTCTGTTATCTCTTAGATGTGTTTCGATTCTTTTAGATTCGGTTCCTCTAAAACAGCAAAATCGTCTTAACATTGTGCAACATTTATTACAGCATTTGACAGATATATCATCTTTACAGTTAGTATCAATTTCAACCCCAACACAATGACTACAATTGGAACGAACAACATCAAATGCTGCTAAAAGAAATTCTTCTCATAATCAAGCTTCAAAACGTTTACAAAACGACAAACTTCATCCATCACATCGCCAAATACTTGTTTACAGAAACGCTCTCGAAGCAATATTCGTCAATATATAACACGCTGTAATCGTTCAACAATTACAAAGACTGGAAAAAAAATATAACAAAAAAAGTTCAGATTATTGAACCAAAAGAATCAGTGGAAAATAGTTCGGCACAACCGTGCTTGAGCGAGAGGAAAGCTGAAATAGCCATCGTGTAGGCCTTGAAAAACGCTATTTTTCACCTATAGTTCTTAAGAAGTTTTCAGTTAAAATTGAGGGCGTACGAATTTTATTATTTTTTGCCAATTTTCTAAAAAAATCACGAGTTTTTGTTTATTTTTTTTCTCCACTTTGGTACTTTGCACAATCTCTCATATTATTTTTCACCTTTGGATTTTACAATAAAACAGTCAATACACTTTTCGTAGAGAATTCAACGAGAAATCTTTTGGTGGAAAAATTAGCTCAATGGAGGAGAAATTTTGAAAATACTGAGACTAATTGTTTTTGCGCCACCCGTTAGAAGCGAAAAACTTCTAAATTTGTGTTAAAACTGATGTTGGTTTATACGAATTATGCGGACAGGCAAAGAGAGTGAATAATTCGTATTCTCACGCATTTTTATCTTGTATTTTCTTTTACACATTAATTTCTTCATTTTTTCCTCACGGTTATTCTGTTCACGGCTTTTATTGCAAGAGTTTTATTCACAATTTTCACTTCAACGAGTATATTCCACGATTTCACGTATTTTATCTTATGGCTTTTCCTTTACAATCTGAAACCCACGTTCCCTCTAGTCGGTTTCCTCCACGTTAGTTAAGTGTGAGCAAAAGCTGGCTATTTATCTTTTTCTTTCTTTCTTTCTTTCTTTCTTTATGATACAGCGGTAGCTCTCGAGACACAACAGATCTCACGTTCTAATCTGCATTTGGTTGGAAGATGTCAGATCTTTCACTCTTAGCATTTCGATGCAAAATAACGAATCCA